ATATATATATATATGATATCTATATATATATATATATATATATATGATTTCTATACTAAAATTACCCTAGAGCAACTTATATATTTTTTTATGATGTTTAATTTTTTATTTATAGATAGACCTAACCCCCCCCACCCACTTACCCCCACCGATTGATGAATCATAAAAATTATTTTAAACATTTTTGAAAAAATTATTTGAAAAAAATAAATCAATTTTTTTAGTTGTAATTTAATAGTTTTATGTAAAAAATAATTAATTTTTTCGTTCAAATAATCAGATAATTAGTTATTAATTAGTTATTGATTACATTAGTTGATGATAATTCATATATAATAAAACAATAACAAAAAAATATCGTTTTATAAATACTAAAATCTATATATTTTTAACAAATTTATTATTTATTTTTAATAATTTTAATTTTAGTTTATATTTTAAATGTTTTTATAACAATTGTCATTAAAACTCAAAATTCAAATTATATATATATTTTTAATATTTAATATAAAGAAATATATTATGAAAAATGTTTTTTATTTTAAAATTACTAAATGTTAAAAATTGTTTTTAATTTTTTTATTTAATTTAAATTTTACAAATAATTACTAGATTAATTATTAAATTAATTATTTTTTAAAAAATTCACAAAAAATATTAAATATTAATTAATTAACAATTTTTTTAAAAGCATTGAATTGTTTAACTTTTTATCTATTTTTTACGTTTTTTGTTTGTTTGTTTGTTTAATAATAATAATAGTTTTATATGTAGTTTAAAACAACAACAACTAAAAACTTAATCTATAAATAAAACTTAAAAATTAAAAAACAAAAAATTGTGAACAAAATAAAAAATTAATTTTTTAATTATTATTAATAATAAATAATTATAATTATTATAATTATAATTGAAATTTAAACCAAAAAAAAAATAGTTAATAATAATATTTAATAAATTATTTCTATAATTACTGATTAGATAGATTGGTATATAATAGTAATAATAATAGAGAGCACCGGTATGCTAGACATGCCTGAATATTGTTGACTAAATAAGCAAGGTCCTCGGTAGTATAGTGGTTAGTATCCCCGCCTGTCACGCGGGAGACCGGGGTTCGATTCCCCGCCGGGGAGCTTTTTATTTTTTTTTTGTTTGTGTGCGTATGCATAACATTGTTTTTTTAATAATAATAATAATTTAGTTGTTTATTATTATTATTAATATTAATCATTTTTTTGTGTTTTAATTTTTTATTATTATTTATAATTTCATAATTATAATTATTAATAATTTGATACAAATACAAAATTTGTTGTTTTATAAAAACCATGTAATATATATACAGTAAATTGTAATAATTTTTTTTATTAATTAAATAAATAAATAGATTAACTATAGGATCTAATTATTATTATTATTAGTAAAATTATTGTCTAATTGTTTAAAAGTAAAAACAAATTTGTTAAATAAATTAACATTTTATTAAATTGATTTAGTATTAATAAAAAATTTTTTTACATACATTTTAATATCTATAGAAATACAGTATATATTGACTTATGTTTGACTACTATTAGATGGAGTTAGTTATGTCATTGAGTGTATATATATACAGTATGTATAACAAGTGTATGGAGTTAAACATGTTATCTGTATATATATATACAGTATATACTGTACATACAGTACAGTATATTTCAATATGTTTTTGTACGCAATATCTACTGTATGAGAGAGAGTCTATCGATATTCTGGTTGTAAATTCTGGGATCGAAAGAGAGAGAGAGAGAGAGAGAGAGAGAGAGAGAGAGAGAGAGAGAGAGAGAGAGAGAGAGAGAGAGAGTTAGAGAGTGGCAGTGGTTTTGTTGTCGAGATATGATAGGACTGTGCGAACCGCATACCAGTGCTGCTGCTGTTGTTGTAGTAGTAGTGTATAGCTTGCGCCCAGACATCTCTCATCACTACATCACTACACACACACACACACACACACACTACTAGTGCTATTAGTAGGTCCACAATCTATCTCCAGGAGCTCTCAGATAGAGAGAGAGAGAGAGACCCTAATATCCACTAATTTTTGTGTTGTTTTTTTTGCTTTTTTGTATTTAATATATAAATATATTATAGTATTGGATATTTCCATACATAATATAAAAATTATATAATATATAAATAAATTGTTGATTAAGTGTATAATAAAAAAAATAATAAATTTATATATAAAAAAAGTTTTATTACATTTCTATATAATCATATTAATAATAATATTGGTTTTTAATCTATTATTATTATTAATGCTATTGTTATATAACCCAAATTTTTTTTGGATCAATTATATAACTTGATATATATATATGTAATATTTATCAGATAAATATAATAATAATAATAACAAAAATTTATTGATTATAATATTTTTAAAAAAAAAGTTTATGATAATAATAAATCTGATATTATATATAATATATGAATTAACAAATAATATATATATATATATATATATATAAAGATAAATAAATAAAATAAATTTATTTATTATTACATATATAGTTGTGTATGTGTGGTATGATTCAGTGTTTTTTGGATATTAAACATCAAAATAATAAAATAATAAAAAAGTTTTTTATTTTTTATGTATACAATATCTCTACTTAATGATTACATTAATTATACATTTAAACGCAAATAAAAAATCATTGCATACATAATATAATTACAACAACAATATATCTAATATAATAATAATAATAATAAATTTTGTTAATATTTTTATCAATAAAAAAAATTTTCGGATAATATATTTATTATTATTATATATATATATATATATTAATGTGATGTTTAATAATTGTGATTTTCAACAATAATACCAGTGTATAAATAATATATAAATAATAATTTTATTGTGTGTATGTTTTAAATGTGTCTAAAAAAAATCTATATGTTTTTGAAGATAAACAAAACAAAAACAAAAAATACTAAATAAATAAATCAATATTTTAATGGTTTTTAAATTTTCTTAGTGTTTTTCCTCCCAAATACAAGTGAACAAAAAAATTTGTGCGAAAAAAATATATATTCAAAAATAAGTTTATATTTTTTCCTTCAAAAAAATAAAATAGAGATTCAAATTGTTTTTTTCAAGTAAAATAAAACTAAATTTTTTTTATTAATATTCAAGTTATATGTATATTATATATACAGTATATATTGAAAGACAGTGAGTGTATAAACAACAACAACAACAACAAAAAAGGAGTGAAAATATTATTATTATTTCAAAAATAAAAAATTTATATTCAAAACAACAACACATAAGAATATTCTGGTGTTATATATATATACTGTATATATATATATATACAGAGAGAGAGAGAGAGAGAGAGAGAAAAAGTTAATGCATGCATAGTGTATAAGAAATTTTTTTATATAAAAAAATTATAAAAAATAATATATATATATATATATAAAGTTGTTTTTTTCAATCGTTGGTGTATTTTGTTATATTATTATTATTATTATCATCAAATTTTTTTAGTGTATTTTATGTATACTGAAATAAAAAGGTTTGTATATATATTTTTTTAAAAATAAATTTTTTATTATTATATTTACTATAGTTGTGTGTATGTTGTTGTTGTTGTTGTTGTTGTCATCACTTTTATTTAAGCAAAAATATATATCAATATATATATACAACAAAAATATATTTATATATAAATATATTGATTTGAAAAATCTTTTACTTAATACTAAATATATATATATATATATATATATTGAATATAATTTGATATACAGTATAGTATATACTGTACTGTAAATATTAGTATATATAGTATTAATAATATTAATGTAATTAATGATTATATTTATAGATAGAGAAATGGATTTTTATTATTTATATTATTAATGATTGCATTCATTGAATAATAATATTATTAATATAGAAATTAGTATTAATATTAATAAATGTTTGATAGTTTTTAAGATAATTTTTTTTTGACATTAATAAAAGTCGTATAGAGCTTCCCATATACTTTATATATATATATATATATATATATATATATATAAGGAGTGTATGTTTTTATCTAATATTATATTAAACTACTATAGACTATAAGTCATCATAAATATCAACTGTACTATATATATATATAAATATATGACTGTCCTCTCCATACATACATTTTTTTCACAGTCGACCGCATCATATAATATGATAAACTATAATATAATATAATAAGAGAAGAGACGATGACTACGAATAATAATAATAATAATAATAATATATTAAACAACTCTTAGAAAGACATTTTTGCGTCTCATCTCTCATATCTAACTTTCCCCTTAACTATACATACCGTATATACAATATATATATATATAATATATAATTTGAATGATATTTTCATTGACTCTTCAAATAATAGTTGGTTTACTGGATATACAATATATAGTATATATTGTATATATTGTAGATATACTACTAAACAATATCTACAGGACATCTACTACTACTACTAAATAAATGTATAATAATATTATTAATATAATATTATATAATATAATGGATTTGTATAATATTTTTGTTTTGTTTGTTTGTTTGTTTTTCATAAATATATTTATTATTATTTTTAGAAATATATATATATATTTTTAAACAAAATATCGGTATATATATAATAAATAAATATATATATAACTTATTCATATGTTTATCTATATACTACTATACAGTATATGAATATCAATTGTTTCATTGTGTGTGTGTGTGTGTGTGTATGTATGTGTATGTATGTATGTATGTATGTATGTGTGTATGTATGTATGTGTGTGTATGTATGTATGTGAATATAAATATGTATTTTATTTACTATATTTACTATATTTACTAATATTATTATTATTTTTTTTAAATAGTTTTTTTGTCGGTGACATTATCGGGTGATGAAACCTAACTACTATTGTTAACACACTGTGCTCAACAACCCTCATCAAAAAAAAAACAAAACCCCAGTGGGGTTGAACCCATCACACACCCACCCACCCACACGCACAGCATATCTATATATATGATATATAAGCCAAGCAACAGATCAATCAATCAACAAAATTGTTATTAAATTATTTAATAAGTGTTTTAGTTGTGTGACTGTGAACTACTGTGCCGTCGTGTTTGAACAGTATCGACAACATCGAGGAATAGTAGATAATAATAATAATGTCGACAACATTGGATAGAAAGAGGACAACAACAACAACACCGACACCCGGGTTGCGTACGACTAAACAACAACGACAGCCGGGAATGTCAGCCAAACAATTACATCCAGACATTAGTAGACAACACCAACAAAAACAGCCTAAAACCAAGTGCTGGTGCTGTCGACGACTCCTAGCCTTCCTGTTCTCACATATAGGACTCGGTTGTCTAGTGTTTGCTTATAGTCTAATCGGAGCCTTTATTTTTCGGCACTTTGAAGGTATGTATAGAAATAATATGACATTATTTAAAAAAAAATTAAATAATTTATAAAAAATTCATTAAAAGAAAACAAAATTTTGTTTAAAAATATTATTATATAAAGAAAAATTCACATTTTTTTATTGTACAATACATACCATTTACTCTTTATTTTTGTTTTATAAGTTATATATATATTGTTTGCTATTTATTTAGTTTTCATTTTAGTTTCTCTCTCTGTCTCTCTCTCTCTCTCTCTCTCTCTCTCTTCTCTCTCTCTCTCTCTGTCTCTCTGTCTCTCTGTCTCTCTTCAATCTGTCTCTCTGTCTTTTTATATTATACTTTAAGATATCATATTTTTCTTTAAGATATATATATATATATATTTAGATATCATATATAAAAAATATATATTTGTTTGCAAATACAATACAAATAAAAAAAATTTATAAATATATTTACTGTATATGTTTGCAAATAAATATATATTTTATTTGACTCTCTCTCTCTCTCTCTCTCTCTCTCTCTCTCTCTCTCTCTCTCTCTCTCTCTCTCTCTCTCATCTCAACTCATCTTCAAAAATAAATAAATAATTTTTGTTTAACCAAATATTATAGAGCCGTACGAACGGGAAAAATCATCGGAAGTGCTGTCCATACGCAACATAACTGTCCACAATCTATGGACAGAAACATTAAAACTGAATGTCTTATACAAAGACAACTGGACATCGATGGCTTCAAAAGAAATTGAAAAATTTCAACAAAATCTCATACAAGCCGTCAAAGATGGCTACGATGGCAGCGGTGGTGACAAACAAATGGATAGTAGTAGTGGTAGACATAATAATAATAATAATAGACATCATCAGTGGTCACTATCTGGCTCATGGATGTACAGTCTGACTGTTATTAGTACGATAGGTATGTGCCCAAAAAAAACTAAAATAATTTTTTTATATATATAAAATTTTTTTATTATTGTAAAATTTATTTGTATTTATATATATTTGCGATAATATATAATTATTTATATATATATATATATATATATATATATATATATATATATRCATATATGCATATATAAAGTTAAAACTATAAACTAAACATAAACTATATATATACAGTATATATATTACATAGTTTTTATATATTTAAGTTAATAGGAGTATAACATTGTAATGCAATTTTTTTAAAAAAAATTTAGATAAATATATATAAATCCAGGGTTAAGTAAGGGGGGGGGGGGGGGGGTAAGGCCAAAATACCCCCCCCTAAGATCGAGAAATTGGGATTTTACCCCCCAGACTTTTTGACCAAATTGAAAAAATTGTCGCTTAAAAACGAGGAGAAATGACCCCCCCCCTAAAATTTCGGCGCCGAAGGCGCCGAAAATTTTTTTGAAATTTATAAAAATTTTAATTTTAGTTGATACTATTTTAGTAAGTGTTTTTATGTTTTTAATATTTATAAAAATCTAATTATTGATTAAAAATAGTTAAAATAACGTTAAAAGTCATCAAAAAATAACATTATTTTAATTAAAATAAACTAAAAAATTAAAAATTACCTATTTGTTGAAAAGAGTAATCATATTACAATTTAAATATAAGTTTAAGAAGTTAATAAAACAATAAATACTTATGTTTTTATTAATAATTTTTAAATTTTAAATAAAAAATTTAAAAATATTTTCAATTTTGTACTTAATATAATTAAACTTTAACGAAATTTGAGTTAAATAAGTAGTATTCAGTCAGTATTTGTATAAAAATAAAAATATATAACAAACTATAAACATTAAGTATTGTTTAAAAAATTAATTATGTTAAAAGTTAAAAATTATTAAAATACTAAAAATAACTCATAGTGTATCATTAATGCTTTTATCAACTATTTTTAAATCTTAAATACATTATTTTATTTTTTTTGTTAAAATTTAAGTTTTTATTAATTTTAAAAAATTTTTTTAAAAAATATTTATTTTTTGTTAAAATTTAAATTTTTGTTAATTTTTAAGTTTTTTAAGTTTTTTTTTATATTTTTGGAAATTTTACCTATTTTCCCGGGAATTTATACGGGAACTTGTGGGAATTTTATTGAATTTACATGGGAATATTCGGGAACTTAAGGAATTTTTAGGGAATTTTCTCTAGACCCCCCCCCCTTGATTTTGGATTTTTGAAAAAATTGCCGTTTAAAAATGCAATAAAAATCTTACCCCACCCAATACCCCCCCCAAGATTTTTTGAGAATTTTGTAAATTTTACCCCGGTCTACCCCCCTAAAATCCAAAACCTTGCTTAACCCTGATATAAATCATATTTTATTTGATTTAACCAAAAATATATATATATATATAAATAAATCAAAATTTTTTATTTATTATTATTACTATTACTACTATTTATTTAAATATTATGCATATATTTATATACAATATATTTTCTCAGTAATATAAGTAAGATTTACATTAAATTTATATGTAATTTATATATATATATATATATATTAAATAAAAAACATTTTTAAAGTTAAGTAAAACAGCGATTTGCTATTTTATTAGAGAGCAATGAAAAAATAAACTAAAAAATAATAAAAATAAATAAATAAATAAACTAAAACAAAATTTGCCTGAAATTTGTTTCAATTATATATGTGTTTCAATTGGCCAATTCATAGGCAAATTGGCTTACAATTCATTGACTAAAATTTATTTATTTTTTTTAGTTATTTTAAAGAGTTTTTTTCTGATAAAAAAAATTTACTTATTTTATGTATGTATATATATATATATATATATATATATATATATATACCTATATGTGTTTGACTATATATATATATATAAACTGGTATTTATATTGTATATTCAATGCAGAAATTTTCAATTCAATGCATTATTCAAATTGATCTCTAAGTTAACTGACTGTAAGTCAATTTTCAATTTATTTTGGCATATTGTGTATGTATGTATGTGTGTGTGTGTGTGTGTGTGTGTGTGTGTGTGTGTGCATGAGTGTGTGTGTAAATGTATGAGTATGTGTATGTATGTATGTGTATGTGTGTGTGTGTATAGCAAAAATAAACTTTTGAGATGCTCATCTGGATGCTTAAAACTAAAACATACAGTATATGAGCACTGGTATGTCTAATGTCAGCGACAGTATGTATATACATAGTTATGGGTGTGAAAAGTCATCATCAAATATATCAAATAATAAGGTCTAATACTTATAGTATTGTATATATATATRTATATATAKATATATATATAKATATATGTTTGTGTATATATATATGTGTGTGTRTATTTGTGTGTATATATGTGTGTGTATGTATGGYTATAATATAATACGGGTCTAAAACAATGAYATACAATATATAAATACAAAAAATAAATTAAATAATAGATAGTATATTATATAAATATTGTATATATCAAGTAGTATTAAATTATAAGTCAAAGTTATAATAGGAAATAACTCAAAATAAAAAAAAATCAACACAAAAAAGCTACTAAACTGTATATATATTGTAATATTATTTATATACATAATATAATATATATATATATATTATAATAAAATAAATTGGTAACTGTTATGTCATGTTTGAAAATCCATATGATTTTGATCTTATATTTGTAGTGTATATACAGTATATATATATAACTATATAATAATAATACAAAAATTTTAACAAAAAAACTAACATTTACTTTGATGTCAAAAAAAAATATATATATATATATATATCTGAAAAAATACTATTGAATTCACAATTAACTAAACAGAATATATATATATATATATATTTTAAATAAATAAATATAATATTTATATACAAAAATTTTGTGTTTTAAATTTTTATATATAAATATAATCCCTTTTTTCATTTATTTGCAAATTTTTATTATCATATATTATATATATATATWTTGTGTGTMTGTGTGTTATTGGCGTATAATTTGATGCAAATAAAGATATAAAGTTATATAAAGAGTAACAAAAAATAAAATAAAAAATGTTTTGTTTGTTTGTGTTTGAAATATTGTGTGTATGAAAAAAATGTGAAATAAATTAACCAAAAAAAAAAWAAAAAAAAATAAAATAAAAGCCTAATTGATTTTAAATTAGATTTTATTAGATTTTTCAATTTTAACTTATTTTTTTGGCACTAATTTTTTTAGCATTAAAACATCATTTCCTTACCAAACTAAAAATATAAAAATAAAATAAATTTCAATTTTTTTAATGTTTTTAAATCCTATGTGTTTTAGACATTAGGTTTTTTTGTTGCTTAATTGAATTTTCATTTACTTGATTTGATTGAAAGGCTTAACATAGAAAATATTATTTTATTTTAGATAAAATAATTTTTTTACTATAATATATTTATGATAGCAAAAAAAATAATAATATATTTTTTATACATAATTAGATTTTCTTCACAATATATAAAAATTTTTATTGTATATACTTTTTAATAAATCTTTATATATATATATAATGATATAATT